CTCACCTCAGCCTCCCAAGGCGCGGGATTACAGGCTGAGCCACCGAGCCCGGCTGTAGTTCTTTTCTACTCTACTTTCCAGCTTTATTCATTCAACAAATATTTACTGGGCATCAAATGCATACTAGGTCCCGTTCTAAGGTGCTGAGGACTTAATAGTGACCAAAAAGCCCCTGCCTCGGTGAAAGAAGGCAGACAATAAACAAACTGGCCGGTCACAGGGGCTCACGCCTGTCATCCCAACACTTGGGGAGGCCAAGGTGGGAGAACTGCTTGAGCCCAGGAGTTTGAGGTCAGCCTGGGAAATATGGCAAGACCTAATCTCTGCAAAAAAATCAAAAAATTAGCCAGGCGTGGTGGTGTATGCCTGTCCCAGAGATCTGAGAGGCTAAAGTGAAAAGATCCTCCTGAGCCCAGGAGGTCGAGGCTGCGGTGATCTGCGATCGTGGCAATGCACTCCAGCCTGGGTCACGGAGTGAGACCCCCGATTCAAAACAAAATAAATAAATAAGTGCCATTTGGTGGTACGTGCTATGAAAAAATACAGCAAGATGAGTCTACTTCTTGTGTATGCACAAAGGAAACAAAACCAGTCTTTTAAGGGTTAAGAACAATCCTGGAGGAAATGAGCTCGTACATAAAGCAGACTCACCATTCGTTGTACAGGCTCCTGCAGGGCGGGCATGGAAAGGAAAGAGACAGCGTGAGAGGCGATGCTGACAAAACAGGATTCTCAGAACACACCTAGCGCCAGGCAGACAGAAGCCGCACGGGATCAGCAGGACGCTCTGGTGTCAGGGGACAGGCCTGGCCTCTACAAAGGGACGAAGCCCCAGCCGCACTTCCATCTGTTCACACACATGCTCTGTCTTCACACCTCGCCTCCCTGAGACCAGGCAGTCTGACACGGAGTCGCGGAGAGCTGTCTTTGGTCTTCTCACCTACGCTCTTCTTTGTGGGCCACACGACCTTCCTGGCTGCAGCTTACCTGAAAATGCTGACTTCATACTTCCTATGTACAGATGGAAGTGATGTAAAGTGCCCCAAATACAGGCAGGAAGCCACTTAAGATTTTCGCGATAAATAAGGGGGACAGGGGAGTCATGGAGCGGGACATGTAATAATGTATCACTTATGGTTAAAATAAGACAGAGTGATGACAGGTGGTAGACAGACAGATGTCAACGACCAGACATGTGCACAGGGTGACACTTAAAAGGCAGAACAAAAGAGCCACGACAGAACTGAAGTGGCCAGAATGCCTACTTGAGGTCTGCCAGGGAATCTTGAAGATGCTTCTGGACCCGCTCGTCCTTCTCGTAGATTTCCAGCAGGGAGATGGCCTCATCGTGATTCTGGCAGTAAACCTTGTACGTCCCCTCCAGCTCATCCCGGTGGTCAAGAAACACAGGTCCTTTAGGATACACACAGACACAGTGCGGCTTGGTGACCTCCTTCTCAGTATCCGAAATATAAGCTACACGGACAGGCTTGACTATCACCTGACTCCTGCCTATTACAAGAAGTGATAATAAGACTAGCCATCAAATTAGTAAGAAGTTGCCATGTAACTGCTTAAAGCTGTAATCGCTGAAAGCACAATTTGGAAACCACGTCATCCATGTTAACTTTCTCTCTCTCTCTCTCTCTCTCTCTCTCACACACACACACACACACACACACACACACACACACACGGAGCCGGTACCTGAAACAGCCCTGGTCCCTCTGCGGTCAGGCAGAGTAAGGCATTGGCAAACTCTCTCCACGTAAGGGTGTGATTAGAGTCCCATAAGGACCCCTTACCTCTCTGACCTCCAGGAAAATCTCCTTAGAAGGTTCCCTCTGCAGCAGTGGTCTCTAACCTTTTCTCTGTGCATAAGTTAAATGCACAAGACTACAGATAAGATCTTCCCATCCAGCAATCTGCCTATCTCTTTTTAGAGATTGGGTCTCACTGACAGCCAGGCTGGAGTGCAGTGGCATGATCATAGCTCACTGCAGCCTCGAATTTCTGGGCTCAACCTCCCGCCTCAGCCTCCCAAAGTGCTGAGAATATTGGCATGTGCCACCATGATGGGCTAATTTTTGAAATATTTTTTAGAGGGAGGGTCGTGCTCTGTTGCCTGGGCTGCTCCCAAGCTCCTGGTCTCAAGCAACCTTCTGCCTCGACCTCACAAGAAGCGGCTGCGACTGTAGGCTACTGTGATGATGACAAATGTGTGTTAAGGCATTTGTAAGGGAATAAAAACATAAACAACCCAATCTATGATACAATAACATATGTGCTTCTTTGTAAAGCAGGAAATAGACAAATGGAGTAACAGCCTAACAATCGCCGGGCTCTCACAGCACGACCACTAACGTACACTGGTGACACTGGCTGCTTCTGGCTGAGTATTACTGACAGTCTAAGATGTGCGACAGCCTCTAGTGCCACGGGGACACGTGACCAGTGGGTGACAGTCACAGGTACTGCAAATGCTAGGGAGTTCGTTCCCTCAACCATACTTTATTTATTTGAGTCAGAGTCTTACTCGGTCACCCAGGCTGGAGCACAGCGGCACGATCACAGCCACTGCAGGCCCGACCTGCTGGGCTCCGGCGATCCTCCGGCCTCAGCCTCCCGAGCAGTTGCAACTACAGGCATATGTCACCACGCTCAGCTAATTTTTTTTGATTTATTGTGGAGACAAGATCTTGCTATGATGTCCAGGCTGGTCTTGAACTCCTGGGTTCAAGCAATCCACCTGCCTCAGTCTCCCAAAGTGCTGGGGTTGCAGGTGTGAGCCTCCGCACCTGGCTGACATTTGTTCTAAAAACCAAGTTTCCCCTACAGAAAGGAGCTACAATTGACGAAATTAATTTAAATGGAAACTGATCTGTGCCAGAATAGGGAGTCCACAGGACACAGCAGGGGGCCTGGTCACTGCCGTTTCCCAACCAGTAGAAGTCTGGGGTGATACACAGTTAGTCAGTGCTTCAAGCTGCAGGGCTCTCATGTGGTAAGCAACAGCCAGCCCTGAGGTCTCCGGGCACAGGAGCTAGATGAATGTTCTCAAATATTTTGAAACCAGGTACAGTGGCTCACGCCTGTCATCCCAGCACTTAGGGCAGCAGAGGCAAGAGGACTGCCTGAGCCCAGGGGTTCAAGACCAACCTGGGCAACTTGGCGAGAACTCATCTCTACAATCAGTCAAAAAACTAGCTGGGCATGGTGGCGCGCACCTGTAGGCCCAGCTACTTGGAAGGCTGAGGCGGAAGCAGCGCCGGAGCCCAGCAGATTGAGGTTGCGGTTGCCATGAGCGTGCCACTGCCCTCCAGTCTGGGCCACAGAGTGAGACTCTAACAACAACAAAAAAACCCCCAATTTTTGACAAAACCACATACATAAATACATTTTAAGCCAGGACTTGGCATACATACATACACGTGGAATGGAAATTAGTGTTTCAGAAAACAGTAGTTACACTTATTGCTTACAGTGCATTCTGATATTTTCTATTTTATTTTATTGAAAAATACATGCTCTGTACAATCCATTAACTGACCTCACGACTCAGAAACACAGGAACAGGTTCTACTGCTCACATCTTAAGTCGCCTCAGGGCAGGCTGAGGTACAGGGCTTCCCCTGAACTAAGCATCTGAAGCCACACCTTCTGGCAAAACCACTGGGTATTGGGACCTCCAGCCTCCCACCCATGCTGTTTCTGGAAAGCTGCTTCTGCCGGGCGCAGGGGCTCCTACCTACAGCATCGCTGAGCTCCAGAGCCGCCAGCAACTGCTTCGAGACCTGGATCACCATCTGCATGTTTCCAAAGAGCCCGTCGAAATCAATGTTGGGCACCTGAGAACAGGAAACGAAACAGACAGACACGGAAATGAAACGAACGGCCCGTGCCCGCCAGGAGTCTCTCCACAAGGACGGGACAAAAGTGGCTCACGGGTGTTTCTTCACTCACGTTCACAGTTTCTAGAACAGAAACACCTAACGTTATCACCGGCATCCCTGTGTCCCCGACCCCCTAGCACCTTAGTCACATGACGCTGGGACCGACGCCATTCCCACGTCCACGGGGCAGGAGGAGGCTCACCCACGGCACTGCGCTCGTGCCGCCCACAGACTCGGGAACACAAACCCCAGCCAGCCCGGTGGCCAAGGAGCAAGCGGGAGGACTGCAAGCCCCGGGGGCTGTCCCCTTGGCTTCCACCCTCCAGCGCCTGGCAAAGGCCCCAGCCCACACACACACGCTACGAAGGGTTTCCGGAATAGACGCTGTGATCGGGCACTAGAGCCCGGGAACCCTTTGCCCCAGACTTAGTCATGCGACCACGCAGCCTTCCCACAGAGCCACGACCCAGGCCCCCCAGGTCTGTCTTCAGGAGCCCCAGACACAGGCACTGCCCCAGGCGTTTTTGCAGGACGGGTTCCTTGGCGGGTTAACTGCAGAGGTGACCAGCACCGTGACAGGATGCTGGCACTGAGCACATGCCTGCGGGGCCCTCGGCCGTGAGCACACGCCGTCACAGCCGCCCCAGCCCCACGGCATGCCCGTGGCGAAAGCTCCGAGTCCCCGTGGCCCGCGCCCACCTGAGCCCGCCGCAGGGGCCCCATGACCCGCGCGACGCACATCTCCAGGTCGCGGATGTAGTCGCGCTCCGTCTGCAGCAGCTCGTCCACCACCTTGGCCCTCTTCTCCAGCATTCTCTGCTCTGGGTTCTCGGCGGACACAGACCCAGAGGGGGCTGCCGCCGACGAGGACGGGGGGGAGAGAAGCGTCATTTCTGGAAGGGAAGAGGGAACCAGTCAGCGGCTCGGCTTTTCGTGAGAGTGGGTCTCTTCCACGGCTCAGTCCAAAGAATGCATTCCCTGAAACCAAAGGCCTCACTGTGGCCAACTGCCAGGAAATCCATCGCATGCGTCTCTTCTTGACAGGACAGCTGAGGAGCTTAGACACTAGCCACCATGCAGAGAGAACACTTCACACCTGTGCAGCACCACTTCCAGAATGCATCCCAAAAAGGAGCAGCTGGCCATCTTTTCTTTTCTTTTTTTTTTTTAGTTGGAGTCTCACTCTTGTTGCCCAGACTGGAGTGCAATGGGCACTCCGGGCCACTGCAGCCTCGACCTGCTGGGCTCCGGCGATCCTTCTGCCTCAACCTTCCAAGTAGCTGGAACTACAGACGCATGCTACCATGTCTGGCTGGTTTTTGTGATTTATTGTAGAGACGAGGACTCGCCAAGTTGCCCAGGCTGGTCTTGAACCCTCAGGCTCAGGCAATTCTCTCGCCTCAACCTCCCGAAGTGCTGGGGTTACAGGCTGAGCCACCGCGCCCAGCCTGGCCCATCTTAAGAGGACAAATCGGTGTCCACAAGCTCCTTGCAAAAGAGGCTGGGAGGCACCTGGCCTTCTCAAGACTGCTGTCACTTAATCAGATCTACAACCTATTCCATGATCTCAGCACAGAAACGCCAAGCTGGAAATTAAATGGAGTATTATGGGGAACACAGGCTGGCAAAGGGTAAACAGGATGGAGGAGGTCTCTACTGAGACCTGATCACTCCCAGTCACCGTGATGTGGGTTAGCAGTAGCATATGGTGCAGGCTGGGCGGTGTCTCACGCCTGGCATCCCAGCACTTGCGGAGGCGGAGGCGAGAGGCCTGCCTGATCCCAAGGGTTCGAGACCAGACTGAGCAACTTGGTGAGATCCCGTCTCTACAATAGATAAAATGATAAGCTGGTGTGGTAGCCTGTGCCTGTGGTTCCAGCTACCTGGAAAGCTGAGGCAGAAGGATCACCTGAGCCCAGCAGGTGGAGGCTGTGGTGAGCCATGATTGTGTCACTGCACCCCAGCCTGGGTGACAGGACAGAGTGAGACTCTGACTCAAAACAAAGAAACAAAAACAGCATATAAAGAAATAGGTAAAAATTGTTTAGACTCTCCCCATGAAAACCTTAATCAAGACTCAAAGCAGGTTTTGCTATTTCAAATATCCTAGAAGACAGACACAAACCTATTACACTCACGTTCTTCAGTGGTATTTTGAATTAAATGAACCTCTAAGAACTAGACTGCATGATTCTAAAAACAAAAACGTATCTTGTCATTAGCTTTTACAATTATCTGACTGTTTCTTAGACACATAGAATGAGAATTATTTGCATGCAAGACAAAAAATCCAACAGTGAAGCATCTCTGCTCAGTTTCTACCAAATTCCTTAAAACCCACTTAAAAAATCACAAATTAAATTTGGTAAGCAAATACACTAGTAAATCTGAGTACAATTACACGAATACTTCCCCCAGATTTAAGAAGCCAGAACACAAGTGTTCCGACTACTTCTGGAAACGCAGACTTTCACAGCAGATGTTATTCTTCCCCAGTCTTCCTCTCTGAGAATTTAGCAATTCCAGTGTCAGAAAAAAGGAGGCAGCGTCCCCTGGAGACACAGCTACTTCCAGGGCTGAGGCCGGGCGGGTACGAAGAGCCCGACACTCGCGTGACATGAAGTGAAGAGAGCTCAGGGGACCCGGCGAGGCGCATGAGCCAGCTCGCAGGGCCGCGGGCCACACCGGGCGCAATTGGAGAATCAGCAAAGAAAAGCACGGCAGTGGACTGTAATCCGCGAGCAAACAGGAATCTGCATCCATACGGAGGGCACAGGAGCACATAAATAAATCGGAGAGAAGAGAAAACTCTCACAGCAGAACGTCAACTCAAGAAAGATGATGGGATTAGAAGATCGGCATTTTGCCACCATCAGAATGAAATCTGGTTCAGGCACGAATCACCACCAATGATTGACGATGCTGGTGTTGGTGGTGGGGTCGGGTGATAAGCAGAATATCTGTGCAGTTTTGAATGACACACTACAAATTACTGATTAATTGCAGGAATGAGAAACAGTCACCATAACCAAGGCATCAAAATTAACCCCGAGGGGCAGTCAACACGTGTTTCCAAATGCCACGTCCGAAAACAAAATACAGCTCTCCAGTCAGAAACAGATAACCTGAAATGAACCTTGAGGAACCTCAGACAAACCCAAGTTGAGGATCTGGGTTCTTCAAAGTGTCAGCATCATGCGAGTCAAAGCCTGAAGACACAAAAGGCGCCTGAAGACTGAGTGACAATGTGGCGTGTGACTCTGAGCTGGACCTTGATTTGGGGAAACCACTAGGGTAACAGATGAAACTGGAGTACGGCCTCACTTATCACCAGAGAAATGCAAATCAAAACCACCACCTCACCCCAGGAAGAATGGCCATCATTAATAAAACAGACAACAACAGATGCTGGCGAGGAAGCGGAGAAAAAGGAATGCTTCTACACTTCTGGTGGGAATGCAAACTAGTCCAACCTCTTTGGAAGACAGTATGGCGATTCCTGAAAGAACTAGAAATTGATCTTCCATATGACCCAGCAATTCCCCTACTGGGAATATACCCAGAGGAACTCAAATCATTCTACAAAAAAGATACCTGCACGCGTATGTTTGTTGCAGCTCTATTGACAATAGCAAAAACATGGAATCAACCGTGTTGCCCATCGAAGCCGAACTGGATTAAAAAAATGTGGTACATATACATGATGGGATTATGCAGCCATAAAGTTATGCAGCCATAAAGAACAAACATATGGACTTTGCAGCAACTTGGATGGATTTGGAGTTGATCATACTCAGTGATTTATCATAGAAACAAAGAACAGAGTTGCATATGTTCTCATTCATAAGGTGACCCTGAACAATTATAATGTCATAAGAAAGCGACTGGCAGTAGTGGGAAACTGTCAGGGGTTTGGGGGAGGGGGTGGGACTGACAGTTGAGGGAAACTGCTAGGGGAGGGAGGGGCATACCTCATCAACAAGGGTACCTGCATGATCGATGTTTATATACCTAACTCTGAAATGCACCCCCACATCTTTACAATAAAAATTAAAAAGAAGAAAGAAAGAAAGAAAAAAAGAAACTGGAGTACGGACTGTGGATGAGATAAATGAGGAGACTGATTTCAAATTTCCCAAAATGGGATGGGCGCGGCGGCTCACATCTGTCATCCCAGCACTTTGGGAGGCCGAGGTGAGAGGATTTGCCTGAGCCTGGGGGTTCAAGACCTCATCTCTACAATAAATCAAAAAATTAGCTGGGCATGGTGGCACATGCCTGTAGCTCCAGCTACTTGGAAGGCTGAGGCGGAAGGATCGCCTGAGCCCAGAGGGTAGAGGCTGCAGTGGCCAAGAGCGTGCCACTGCACTCCACCCTGGGCCACAGACTAAGACTCTGACCCTAAATAAATAAATAAATAAATGCAAGACTAATAAGCTCTGGGAAGGGAGAACATTTATTTAATTCCTATCACATGCCAGGTACTTTACAGATTACGCCCCTGAACTCATGTAACACACCAACATGTTTCAGTAGGTATTATGACTCCCACTCAATAGAGTTGTTAAGAGGTTTCCGTGGAAAACCAAGGCTTTGCTAGGTGCCCAGCACGTCCCAGCCTATGTAGCGAGTACACGGCTGTTCTGAATTAGAGCCTGAATGTACTGAAATCTAAATCCTGTGCACTTAACCCTGTACCCTCCTGCCTTCCCCAGGCTGGAATCCTAGCTAGAAAAGGTCAGGGCTTGTTTGCCTCACATCTTTTTTTTTTTTTAACTATATCAATATTTTTTATTTTGATATTGTGGGGTACAGTTAAGGGTTAGGTATACAAATATGTTTCGTTCAGGTACCCTTGTTGATAAGGGTTGTCTCCCCGTTCCCAGACAGATATTGACTACCATTAATCCCACCCTCCCTTCCCCCCACCCAGTTTCCCACCACTGTCAGTTCTTTTCTTATAGTATTACAACGGATGTTCAAGGTCTGCTATATGAGTGAGAACATGTGATACTCAGATCTTTGTTTCTGTGAGAGGTCACTCAGTATTATTGACTCTAGTTCCATCCAGGTTGCTACGAAGTTCATGATTTTGTTCTTTTTTATTTGCCTCAAATCTTAAACACTCCCTGGAAACTACTGTATTCTCTACCGGGAATCAAAGCTCTATTAATTACAGTCGTTGGAAGCACAGAGCACCAGTGAGCATTGCTGCCAGTCAGAAGCCAGCAACCTGCATCAGAGACTCCGTCAGATTTTTATTTCTGCTAAGAAAGAAAAAAAGATGGTTAACTGTTCTTTAAACTACCAGTATGCTTTTTGAAGGAGTCTCACTCGGTTGCCCAGGCTGGAGTGCAATGGCATGCTCACGGCCACTACAGCTTTGATCTGTGGGAGTCAAGCGATCCTTCAGCCTCAGTCTTCCAAGAAGCAGGAACTACAGGTGCATTCCATCATGCCCAGCTAATTTTTTTGATTTACTGTAGCAACGAGGTCTAGCCAAGTTGCCCAGCCTGGTCTCCAGCCCTTGGGCTCGGACAATCCTCTTGTCTCTGCCCCCCAAAGTGCTGGGATTACTGCGGTTCCAACTACTTGGAAGGCTGAGGCAGAAGGATCGCCAGAGCCCAGCAGGTCGAGGCTGCAGTGACCATAAGCATGCCACTGCACTCCAGCCTGGACAGAGTGAGACTCTGACAAACAAAACAAAACAAAACAAAACCCAAAATATTTTGGTGTGGTTAGAACCTCTGTGGGATGTTTTCACTAAAGGCAGTTTCCTGGGCTCCACCCCTAAGATTCTGATTCTGCAAACATGGATGGGGCCTGGGTCTCTGCAGTTTTAGCAAAACCAGGGGTGTTTCTGAAGGTGGGTGCTTCCAGGCACCACTGACAT